CCACCCAGGGCCCCGGCACCCTGGCCACGGTGGGATGGGCGCTGCCGAGGGACGGTCCCTGCTCACAAACCCCCGTGTGAGAGGCCGTGGTGGTGATGCCGTGGTGGTGATGCCGTGGTGTCACCTCTGGGCAGAGCCGGCCGAGGACTCAGAGGATGAGGAAGAGGAGGAAGAGGAGGTAGAGAGTAAAGACCCACCGAAGAAGCTCAAGAAGAAGCTGCCCAAAGAGCCCCCCTCAGGGGAGAGCCGGGAGAAGAAGCTGAAGCCAAAAGGTGAGTGCCCCAGGGGACAGGGACATCAGGAGCCTGGCTCCTTTGCCACCTGCATCTCTCGTTGCTGGGATGAGGGGACCACCAGGCATCCCATCCTCACCACCGGCCCAGGAGGCTCAGGGGGCTGTGGGGCAATCGCCCCCACTCTGTGGAACCTCCCCCCAGCTCACCTCTTCCTGCTGCCCAAACCTGCCACCTCCCTGTCCCCTGTCACGGCCTGTCCCCATCCCCTTGTCTGGCCACTCATCCATCCCACCAGGAGACAAGAGTGACTCTGATGGCAAAGCCAAATCTGCCAAAAGCACCAAGAAGGAGCCCATGTCCATGTTCCAGGTGAACAGGGAGAAGGAGAAGAAAAGCAAGAAGAAAGGTATGGGGTGAACAGGCCAGTCCCACTGCCCCATGCCATCACCTGGAGCCAGCAGTGCCCGGTGCTGTGTGACAGTGTCCCTTGTGTCCCCCCAGTCCCCACTGGCAGTGATGAGGAGGATGACTCTGACTCCAGCACCAGACCCATCAGGTCGGAGAAGAAGAAAAACCCGGCGTCCCTCTTCCAGACAGGTGGGGACCCCCCCAGAGAGAAGAAAACCAAAAAGAAAGGTGAGAGCCCAGCTGGGGGGCGGTGGGCGCTGGGAGGCTCAGAGGGGAGCAGGTGAACCTGCAGGGAGAGGGGGGTGACGAGCAATGGGGTTGCTCTGGGTCTGTGCTGAGCTGGGTTTGGGGGTTTGGCAGACTCAGGCTCATCCCTCTCCTCCATTCCCCTTCTCGTTCCTGCAGCTCCTCCCAAAGCGGCTGACAGCGAGGAGGAGACCCCAGAGACCCCCCCGAAAAACTCCAACAGGAAAGGGAAAGGGAAGAAATCAAAGAAGGTACAAAAAAAACCCTCAGAGCTCTGGGGGCCCCTCGGTGCAGGGGCAGCAACTTTTCCCTCCAGGGCAGGTCCAGGGGCTGGAGCATCCCCCAGGGAGACCCCCCACAGCACTGTCCCCAAAGCCACCAGCTGCAGAGCCACAGCCCAGGGGGGGGGATCGGGAGCTGGGAAAGGAGAGGAGCTTTTTGGCAGGTCTGGTTTGGGGGTCACTAGTGCCTCTCGTGTTGCAGAAGGAGGAGAGGCCCCCATCACCTGTCATCGAGGTGGACAACCTGGAGGAGTTCGTGCTGCGGCCGGCGCCGCAGGGAGTGACCGTCAAGTGCCGGGTGACACGGGACAAGAAGGGGATGGACCGAGGGCTTTACCCCACCTATTACCTCCACCTGGACAACGACAAGAAGGTGAGTTGGGATGGGCGTGGGGACCCCTGGGGCTCTGCACCCGACCTGGGGAGCACCCTCAGGGTTTGGGGGGGGCTGGTGGTAGGTCTTGTATGGGGCTGCTGCCCTCCGCTGCAATTCCTCTTGGGAAATGCCCCACGTTGGTGGCACCCAGGGTGGTACTTGGCCAGAGAACCACACCAATGCCAGGCTGGGCTCAGCCCCACCCTGCCCCATGGCTCAGACAGCATTTGGGGAATCACCATCCCTCCACAACTTCCCCAAGGTTGAGGCAGTGACCTGTTGGGCCGAGCCCTGCGCAGAGGGAGCAGTGGGGTGGTGAGCTGGAGATAGAGAGGGTGGCAACGGTGGTGACAGTGCCCTGTCCCCACGTGGTCCCTCCACCCCTTGCAGGTGTTCCTCCTCGCCGGGAGGAAGCGTAAGAAGAGCAAAACCTCCAACTACCTCATCTCCATCGACCCCACTGACCTGTCACGAGGGGGAGAGAACTTCATCGGGAAGCTGAGGTAGAAGCAGAGGTGGCACCTCATTTCAGTGGTACCCTGTTTTGGTGGCACCCCATTCCTGCAGCACCCTGCTCCCACTCCATGGGTTACTGGCTGCTCCGAGCGATGGCTGGGTCAGGCAGGAGGCTAAAATTTAACGTTCCCCACTGCTGGGTCCGACGCGAGGAGTGTCAGGGGGCCGGGAGGGGAAAACAGGCTGGGCTGGTTCCTCCTGGCAGACAGGTCACGGCTAGAAACAGTGCCTGGTGAGCCCGGCAAGTCCCAGCCCGTTGCACCACTGCAGCTGCACAGCGATGCTGGGGGGTCCCCGTGGCAGCAGCACCCTGGAACACCCCAATTTAGGGGCACCCTGAGCCCGAGTAAACAGCTAAAGGGTGGGAAGGACGGTGTTGGTGAAGGGCCACATGTGGGGTTTGCAGACGGGGCTGTGCCTGGAGCAGGGGGGACGGGGGGGCCTGGAGGGGACTCGGTGGCACCGCCCGCAGCCACGTCCCGTCCTCGGTGGCAGATCCAACCTGATGGGGACCAAGTTCACGGTGTTCGACAGCGGCGCCAACCCCGACAGAGCCAACGCTGACTGGTCCAATGTGAGGCAGGAGCTCTCAGCCGTGGTCTACGTAAGCAGGTTTTGGCCTGGGGACCCCCCAGCCTGGGGTCTGTGGTGTCCCCAACCCGCATCCCTTCACTGGGCGACCGCCCCGGGGGTTGTGGAGACGCGGGATGGGCTCGATCCACCCCTGAGCCCTCGCCTGGTGAGAAGCTGGTTTTAGCTGTGGGGTTTCTCTTGCAGGAGACCAATGTTTTAGGGTTCAAAGGCCCCCGGAAGATGACGGTCATCATCCCCGGGATGAACTCCGACAACGAGAGGGTGCCCATCCGGCCCCGAAATGTAAGTCAGGGGCCAGACTGGGAGAAACTCCATGGGAGCTGGATTTGCTGGGGTTCTCCCTGGATCTTACCTGTTTTGGGGCATGGAAAGTCTTCTGGGTGTCCCTACAATGCAAGACACCTCCCTGGAAGCTGGGAGAAGTGGTGTCTGTATTTTTTTTCTCAGCGCTGGATCCCATCTCCCAGTCAGGTGCTGCAACAGAGCATCTCCCTGGGCACACCACGGGGAGTGCCTGGGCTCTGGATGGGTCACCCCAACTCTGCTCTCACCCTTTTTGCCCTCCCCAGGATAACGATGGCCTCCTGATGCGATGGCAGAACAGAAACATGGACAATGTGATCGAGCTGCACAACAAGGCGCCGGTGTGGAACGACGAGACCCAGTCCTACGTCCTCAACTTCCACGGCCGGGTCACTCACGCCTCCGTCAAAAACTTCCAGATCGTGCACAGCAGCGACCGTAAGCTGGGCAGGGGATGGCATTGGGAGGGGTATGGGGGGACAGTGCCATCAGCTGGCTTCAGAACCCCCCCCCTTTTTTTTTTTCTGAGGTTTATTTTAGTCATACATGGCATTTTTTTGGGGGGTCCTGCCTGCCTTTGCTGGAGCTGGGATGAAGCATCGCCCAGGCAGCTGCCTGCTGGCCCCGGGTGTCGGCAGAGGGAGCGCGAGGGTCACCTGTTGCCAGGCAGATTAGGGCAAGGACTAATCCTGTGGGATGCTGAGCCCCCTCCCCATCACTCTACACCCACTCAGGCCAGCCCAGAGC